GTACCGAAGTAAAAGTCTTAAAATTGTGCTAAGTAGTAAAAAAGTATAATGAACTAAGGGATTTCAGCGAATGATAATAACAATAATCAGGTGAAGGTGGTTGCATTGCTGTGGAATGCAGAATCTTCTAGACATCTGGAAAAGTGTTACATCATCAAAATAACATCTCCCTCACTCGGCAATGATATTAATCCAGAACATATTTTACAAATGTGAGAAATTCCTCTGTGGTCAACAAACTATTATTGTAAAAGTCAGATTTTTATTCATTGATTATGGAAAGCAAAGTATTTGATATCTATTTCATAAATACTACTATCTTTCTGTGTTCTGTATCTAGCAAACAAAATAGATTAGGTGCTTAGAGTATAATGGTAGGAAGCTTTGAGCTAAGGAATCGATCATCCTTATTGACAGATATCAACAAATCAGTTTTTTAAAATTAGGAATACTGATGGAACTTTGAGAAATCCGAGCCTCCAGCCCTAAGACATTCAAATGAGAAACGATCTCTTGCGTGATTAGATTCTGCACAGCATTTGGTCGTCGACACAGCTGTCAGGTCGCATTTGGTGAGTGCTCATCAAAGTATCTCCATCAAGTTTACAAGTTGGCTGTTACAATATAGTACTGCATCATCTGTCAGACAGACTTCAAACCTGGAAGAGGATGTATCAATCAGATATGTATCCTTCGGCAGATTTCTGAACACGGATATGTCTAGTGTTGTCAAACACTCGCTGTATTTCTTGACCTTAAGGAGACATTAGACTCTGTCCATCGATAGGTCTTGTGATAGTGTATGACTGTCCAGATAGTACTCAACAAATATGTAACGCTAATCAAGGCTTTCTATTCGAACTCAGTTTTGAAAACCTATATAGAAATTTGTCATCTGAAGTAACAACAAACAGTGTTGTTCACCACGGTCGGTAGTTGTCACCAAAACCATTTAAATTTGACAAAGATGCGCTAACGGACATAACCCTAGGTACCTCCGTCTCCTGACTCACTTTCACAAAATACACCTAGATGATTTAGAGTACACAGACAGTGTCCTGTTACGCAAAGACCCTAACAAAATGAAGAGTCTTCTGAACGCCTCGAACAGAAATTGCAGTATCCTTGGCGTGAAATTTGCACCTGTCAGTTGTAAGATGACACTTCTGAACCGGTCTAGAACTACTCTCAATTTAGGAATAGGGAGTAGAAAGCGTTGAACATTTTACCTACTAGGTAAGTCGCATCAGAGTAAGTGGGCTGGTTACTGAGAAAATCTTAGCTTGGATAAAAAATGAACTTTCGTCGTATCCACGTTTACATCATCTAATGGGGCCGGCAATATATCTAACTACCGATTGTAGTACAAGCATACTGCAATCCAGGCCGCTCTTTTCTATCATTTGACTGTGAAATACGGCAGAAGATATGAGGAGATTACGAGTCTTTGACCGCATTTGTCTTAACCGCATGGTAGAATCAACCTATGAGGAATGTTTAATTTAGGCGTAGGGTTTTAGGCAAGAAAGACACTTTTGTCGACAAAGTTGTGAATCTTCCCGACTAATGTGACTTGGACATGTGTTAAGCATGCTGAATCACTGTTTACGTCAACGTTCAATGTCAGCCAAAGTAGGATTGAGGTGGAAGAAGGCTAAGAATGAATGAAACAAAACGATGTGTGATATAGTTGAAAACCCGTCACAACAACGCAGATGAATACACTACTCGTCATCTTAAAAGTCTCGATTATTTTCCCTAACCTTCATCTATTTACTCTGTTCCTCTCTAATCATACACTCTTTCTACCTTAATATAACCTTTCCTGTCCAAGTCTTTCTTGCATGTTGCAATGAAGCTTAGCAACTCGAAAGAATGTACTTCTGTGCGAGGTTCTACTTTCATTCATCCGTCCACCTACCATATGTTAGGAATAAAAAGCGTTGTAGTATTGGTTTTATTGTGTTCTCTGAGCTGGGTTGTTTAATCGTACGTCTCGTAACATTCAAAAGATTATGTTTGTGATATTTTACAAAATTTATTGTACTTTTTAGGGAATATATTTGTCAAAAGGCATTATTGTGTTGTCGTTTATCACTTGTCTGATCCCTAAATGCTGGACAATGAAAAGAGACGCCATCATTAAAAAAATCTTAACGACTTAAGCCTTATCAACAGAAACTGATCTCCATACAAACGCAAGGAAAGTAAGGTGGAGTGTCAGGGATTATGTATGCTTTCGTTAAACACTTACATAAGTGAGGCACACTGAAATGTTTAGAGTCAGTCAGCAAGAAATTATGAACCAAGGTTTTATGCTTCTCAGAACTAATCGGCAACGAGTGTTCGCAACTAATAGGAAATTTTTTTCTTGTAAACATTTCAAACCTGACTGGATTGCTCAACGCTCCAGTCAATATCTCTACAACTAATCCATATAATACTTCTGAGATCCAGTTACTTTCGAATTAATAATTTAATCAAAACCATTTTAATCAACTGGAAGTATAAATGTTGACAACCTACTAAGTAGGTGACTGATTTCAATTTATCTATTGATTAGAATCGGGGGGGGGGGGGTTAATGAAAAAGAAACTGAAACGTTAGGAATATGCGCTGCTAACTAAAATGAGTAACTGGATGCAAATCACACGAACTAAAGGCAGTGAATGCTTCACCGATTCAAAATTCAGTTCACTACCGATTCGCACAGAAACATTCGATCCAAATGTCTAAATTGTTCAGAAAGAGGTTCAATCATTTAATAGTCTGTCACCTAAATCATTTATCAACAATCCAATAGTAAACTCTTTTAGTCTATTGTAATAAGCACTTAGGTATCAGATGTACAACAAATTATGGAATTGGGTGGTCGATCACCAGTAGGAAATCTGTTCATGTCAAAGTTAGGCCATCAAAATTCACTTACAGATATATTCGCAAATCAAGTAACCTGAAAGTTTTATAGCTGCTACGTAAAGCGATTGGATTTAACAAGTCAGTAGTCTGGGAGCGAAAGATGAGAGGTAGTACTGAAGCCTTCGCATCTGAAACTGTTTACAGGCTAAAGAAAATCATATTCTTGTGACCATCAAAGCAGCAGCAGCAATCAGAAAGGGTACCATTTATTATCTCATATGTATAACAATGAGGTCTGGAGGTGTACTGATGGGTAAACAGGGTTTGATGGTTGGCAACGTCTTCACGAAGCTAATCGACGGTCAAAGTTGATGCTACCTTCTCTTTATTGAGAAGAGATGTTAAGAAAATTCAACCCTAAAGATGATCCACTCGTTCTTTGCCCCACGAACTTTCAGGGACAACAGTAATGCGTTCGTAAATGTGGAACCTAATACAATTAAGCTTAGATCGCAAACCTACAAAACAGACTGTGACTGAGGTGAGGTAGTCGTCAATTTGCTTAATCGATAAGATCACGCAAACTAATTTACTTTCTTTTTCATGTACTTTAAGAAGTAGTAGCCTTCAATGATGTCGGGATTCAGGAAGTGTCAACTACCCATACACACTTCTGTCAATATTCAACTAAATTCTATTAAATAAGATTATGTGTAAATCTGAAATCAAAACTTTAATCATATAAAGAGTGTCATGTTTAAACACTAGAAGTGATTTCAGCCCAGTGAACTTCCAATAGTGACAAGTTACACCCTTTTTGAGTTTACACACTTTTCTCTGAGTAGTCTAACATGAATATGGTTGACTTGTAAAACATCATGCACAAATAAATCAATACGAGTTATTAAAACAGTTTACTTTGTGTATACAAACACACACACATGATATGTAATATACAGATACACATACACAGTGAAAGGAATATTTTTTCGCAACTGAAACAAAATGACGCAGTAAATAGTCAATATACGGAAACGTGACTTGAAATTGTCTAACCAATTTGCGCTATTTCAATAGAACTCGATAAATAATTTAAAATAGCTAGAACTTTGAACTCTGTGAAAATAGATCAACTTTTATTAAAGTTGTAATCTTTTCACTCCAAGCTGATTAAATAATTTACTACAAAATGACTAAATTATTTTCAAAGAAATCAGCTAGTATGAACGTAGGGTATAGCATTACTGCATAACAGTCCAACCTGCCACACCACACAGTAGTATATCACTTAAGAATGCATCAAGATTAAAAATGGTGAATTTCTGAATGTCGATGAAGATAATACACCTTCACCACTAATATCGATCATAGATTACACCAAATACAGACTCTAGCAATCGATTTCAATTGGTACGTGGAACCCAAACCGAAAGTCTACATCCCCTTCATAGCTCAGATAAAACTTAGAGACGTCATGTTTTAGTCTGACCACCTTTAAGCTTTCCCCAGCTTAATCCGACTTCAGCGTAAGATAATGTTTTAGAACTAAACCATGTCGACAACTAGTGTGTCAACAAGAAAGAGTGAAAAAGCGAAACCAGGTGACCGCTTAATTTATCCTCCATAAAGTTTTGATCGATAACAAAATTTTAGCACTTATAATAAAAAGACTGTTAAATGTTCACCGATCACTGATATTAATGGTTGTGGTTGGGAGATATCCAACTGATTGATATACTGAATAGCAGTCCGCTTTGCATATACCTAAGCAAGCTGAAAGCTCACATTAAACGTTCTACTCCATTAGTACGTCTTCAGAACGGCTACAAAAAGGCATGACACTAAAATCTCTGACTGTTAGCCTGAATTACATAGGGAAGTTTAGGGTACCCGACTGAGTCCTCTTAATTACCAAAATCAACATTTGGAGAGGCTAGTCTTATAATCGACTACAGAAACACAGTACATACACTCCCTATGTTGTTACTATCTGTTTTTCTTCATTCAACAGTCTATCCGATCTTTTTTATTTTACTTCTCTCAGTTTTCTCTGTTGGTGAAGTGTAACAATCCTAACGCTAGGCTCTATACTATTGCATCTGTATCACTAGACAACATCGAGTAGTTTATAGTTGTAAAATGCCTACTGAGATATTGTGATATATTTAATTATACTATAAGTCCAAAACGTTTACTGTTAAAAATAACTCAATGGATTATTTCAAATGAGTTTGACAAAAAAAAAGAGCATTATAATACTACTGCTAATGGCAATCCAAATAAAATTAAGAAATGAATTCTTTTTGCTGTGGAAAAAGATAGTAAAATGGGTTGCTTCAAGCAAATTGTTTATGTATAGATCAGTTTAACACTGAGACAATAACATCAATGGGTAAGTTAGTGAATGATTCTCATAAGCACATGATTCTCCATTCATTTTTCAAACTCTTCAAGTAAATTTATATCTGTAAATATACACAACATAAACGTACATGCTTTTTATACAGTTATAAAGTGAAACGATTAAGTGATTATACTGAGAAATAAAAGTCATTAGATTTTATGAATTCAAATGCATTTAGTAACTAAATGGATAAGTGTTCCTGACTTTTTTTCATTATTAGAATACTTTGAATGCATTTTGTCGTTGAGTTTTTTAAGATTAGGCTGATGAACCTACTTTGACATATCAAGTTGTAGCACGGTAGTCAGAATTAACCTTTTGATTAAATCGTAATGTTATTTGGTGGCGAATAAAACGGATATTCAGAGGACCTGTTTTGTCTTGAGAGAGAGAGAGAGGGGTTATTAGTAGGACTGGAATTCAGAGGTTACTACAAAAAGATGCTAAAGTGGTCGAAATCACACCAATAGGCAACCAGAGATAAAAACTACGCCTTCATACAGAAACAATACATATACAGGAATTAACTAACAGGTCGTTAGGATCCAAACAAGGGGATTTCACGAGTTAATACCTAATTCACTGAACAAGATGTAACCACAACAGTTCAATGGTTTAGTAGATGGCGTTCTGCAGCTTGAACTAGTAAGTCCTAAGCTCATTTAGAATATCATCATACTCGGATATAGGTACATCCACATAGAATTGAACATAAGCACTGTAGTAGACTGTGATTCCATTTTAGTCTGTTTATTAAATAAATCACATAGTGAAACAGCATTACTTGCTGGATAACCTGATATGAATATGGACAATAAATTATATGCGAAAAACCATCCAATAAACAATACTGTTTCACTGTATGACAAATCTAATAAACAGACGATCTTCCTGTTCCAAGACTAATCAACAAACTCATATAACGTCTACAGAGAGAAGATAAAAATCAAATCATTTATAAATACCTACGTCAAAGTGCACCAATTCCAACAAACAGTTAAAGGAGCGATAGGACGTGTAAGTAAACTTCGTCTTGAAGAAAGAATTCATAAAACAGTCAAGAAGTTATACAACATCAGGAAGAATTAAAATGTGAGCTGATGCAAACATGAACATTTGATACTTTCAAGAAATATCTGATATGAATATGGACAAAAAATGATGTCTGAAACGTTATCCCGTAAGACACATCAAATAAACGGAGTAAAATGGAATCGGTAAATCTAGTTGAAGAGTTCTATGTAGAAAGAAATACCAAGTTCCTGGAACAATTAAATATGATTTTATGGTAGCAGCTTGTGATATGTACAGTGTTCTATTCAAAGATGCGAATAAATATATTTGTATGTTGTGATGGTTTATCTGAATCAGTATCAACTTCCAACTATCCTAACGTTTTTCGATATTTGGAATCAAGAGGAGAAGCAAAAACTTCTACATCAGTCTCATTAACATAAGGGTAAAACTTGGCCACTGTGGTAGAATCTAAATCCGCATTAGATTTGTTTATTTGATATATAATACATAGTGATACAGTATTATTTACTTGATGACGTTTCAAGCATAAATTATCATTGCTCATAATCATGTCAATGTAATCACACCACTTTCAACAACCATGTTTATAATCGTGTCATACTATATTCTTTGTTTTCATTGGTAGTGGAATTTTCCAAATCTCTTATATAGGTGTTGCGTCACTCCTAACACATGTGTTGGGTGTTGATTCGAAGAACAAAGATTCAATAATCAACCTCTTTCTCCACCTAATTATATTGGAGTTAAGTACAGTGGTTTTATCCCACCCTATTTTGTGTTAATGAATGCATTGCAATGGCCGAGTTTTTTTTCTAGATTACTAGATCACTCATAAATTATACGTGCTGAGATAAACAAAGAAATAATCTCTGAAAATTCGACACACTTGGTAGAACAATAACGATACCATAAATTCTTTGTATTTCACTACTTGCTCTTCAGCTATGCATAAATTATTTAAGGTAAACTACTGAAGAGTTTAAGCAACTTGAATCCACAGATAAAATTTGCTGCGGTGGTTGTAATGTCAGAACGTGCTCAGTGGATTGTATATATTGGATTGGGATAAACCAGAGGCCAAAACTTCTCAAGATGAGTAGTATACATTATACGGATGTAAGACAATGTAGAGTACTAACACAAGAAAATTTAGAACATATGCATGAACAATTATATAACAAAGCGTCAACGCTACCTATTTAAACACTGAATGCTATTTAAGTAAATCTAATAGGAAAGTGAATCTCCCTCATTGACGACATTCAGAATCGACAGCTGAACTAGTTCATGTACACACACATACACACACACACACACAAGTAAAAATGCATCAGCAAGTTACTTATCTCGCAGACTCGAAGCAACACCGGTTCCAATCGTCTGAAATTAGACGCAATACTAACAAAGTCGTGGCAATACATAATCGCCATACATGAGCAAACTCGTGTCACAACCTATCCCTATGATAAACAGAAAATTACAGAACATACACAAGGAAATCAAGTCAGCACTCGCCAGAATACAACAAAGTGCATAGTAGGCCGTCTGATTTCTCTGTTTTACTGCTTAAAGTGTGACTGTCAGAAAGAAACACCACAAGCATCTCTATTGTAAAAGTACTTTCGAATTATTGACCCAGATCACCAACGGAAATAATAAAGCACACTTCTATTTATGGCTGGTGAGTTGTTTTCTTTTTTCGAATAGAAAAAAAGGAAAAATAACAAACGAAATAAGGAATATAAAAAAAACAACTTCGAACGAAAAAAAATCTAGAACAAAAAGCTGGAGGAGGAAAGCACACATACAAATCTGTAGTGATAGTGTAAACATTAATGGAGAAGTGAAAATAAAAGATACTGTTCATTGTTACCTTGGTAAATAACAACCATAGTAGTGACTCTAACGCATAAAAAGAAACGAAAATCAACTAGATAAGAAAAGCTTTGTGGATTACGCAAACATAAAGGTGATTGGGATTTTTATTTGTGTGTACACTCCTGTTAAAAGGATAAAGGAGGGAGTAGACATGCACAGATAAACACTTTATGCATAAAAACAAACGATGGGAACTATGATACAATCACATATGTAATGATGATATTAATCGCATTTGTAAAAGAAATAACAGTAATAATTGTAATGATAACAGAAATGTTTAACGCCTAAAGAAATACCACATTATCCATTAACTAACTATGCGTATTTTACAGTATTACGTTCGATTCAGTGTGTGAGTGATCATATTGGGGCAAGGAATGGAAGATGATAACAACTGGAAGATTACAACTTCTGTTCACCCAACAAGGGATAATCTGTAGAACATTGAGAAAGATAGCCGAAAAAGAAAACGAAGAATAGCCTAAATGAAGAATGAGGATGAAAAGAGAGTGTCTATGTATGTTTGTTTGCTGAACAGTTAATCAAAGGTATCAATGATAAATAATCAAAACTCTACACATGTATGCATAAATAAATAAGTAACAATAATAATAATAATAACGATGCAAAGAAATCGCAATATTCATTCATAATGACTCTTTTCGAAGAAGATGAAAAACAACAATGATAAAAATAGCGATTACAAAGAAGTGAAAAGTGAAACACAACTTATAATAAAGATCGCGAAAATGTACTTGTAAGCTCTTCACAATTCAAAATAAGTAAAATTCCAGTCAACCGGAATCCAGAAGCCTACCAGTTTATCAAATGGATATAATGTATGGAGAGGGGAAAAGAGAAAGAGCGAGGGAGAGAGAGATAAAGAGAGTAAATTAGAAAAGTGAACAAACATAGCAATGATAAAATAATTTTATAATCCTCCTATTTCTCGTTTTCGTCTTTATATGAACATTACATAATGCCAGGTGTATATGCAAAGATAGTCAAATGAAAAATAATAGATAACAAATGATTAATATTTAACCGCTATCATAGAACTTAACAGAAAGTATCAAGCAAAGACAACAACAAAACAATCAACTCATCATTAAGTTTCCGTACCTAATAACATCATGATAAAAATTCAAGACAGATAAGGAAAGAATGAAGTGATTAGGAAGTTGAAAGAAAGACTAGCAAACCAAAAAGAAAAAGTAGGTAGCAATGCAAAAAGTAAATTAATCATAATTATGATAAACAGAACTCTAAGAAGAAAGCCATCCATGATGATGATGATGACAAGGATAATCAATCATAAAGGAGCGAGATTGAAACAACTAACTATGCAGGTGTAAACACAATCACATTTCATGGGAACACTTGGATTTATTCTGACCTTACCAACAGACCATTTCACAAACAAGTGATTGATGTACAGCAATAGACAAACTATACCAACTACACCCCAGTAAGATGATTAAAACTGATCCAGCGAGAATAAGATGCCAACAAATACACATGCACTAGGTGAGAAATGATTACTTATGTTGAATATGGAGAACATCTTGAATGAATGAAATGATGACAACAACAAAAGACAGAGATTGGTAGGTATTTAATTTGTAGATATGTATGTGAAAAGAACAAAATGGAAGAAGGATGAAAGAGAAGAGAAAAGCGTTTTATCAAATACAAGTTGCTTCAAGACATCTCAATACAGTAAGACGCTATATATGTGACTGTCTTTGAGTTTAATGGTTGTTGTTGTCATTGGCAGTTTTGCTTATTTGCAATCTGCAGTGAGATAGGGTAAGAAGGGAAAAGAAATCTAAAATGAACAATCCGCATAAATCTTCAGTTATCATGATAAAATATAATGACGGTAACAGCCATAGCAACAATAATGACGTCTCGGTGATGATTACAATAATAATGATAACAATATAATGTAAAAAGGCACAGATTCAAAATAAATTTCACGACTAGAATGATTATTCTGTAAGTAAACTGTTAACGAGAACAAGGAGAAGAGAAAAATGCCATTGTCATTCTTTCATATTTTTGTGTTTCTAAGATAATAAACAAGGAAAATCTCTTCCTTTGTTTGGATGAGATGGCGGCGCTAAATTTTGTGTCTACAAGAAATAGTACTACTGGTAATGATAACCAGATATGATTTATACTGTCCAATGTGTGTAGGTAGGTATCCCCACATGAAAAAAGATAACGATGACTTGTATTGAAAGTAAGGATAGTAAGCAGTGCAGTGGACAAAAATAGCACAGTAAGTAGACAAGAAACAGGAAGAAGAAGAAGAAGAAGAGGAACGAAAGAACGGCAACAACAAAATAGCAGTGAAAAATAACTAACCAATGAGATGAATTTTTTTTCTCACCAAAAAGGATTCCGCATGCACACAATGGTGCAGTCGGAAAAAATAAGTCTGTAATCTGTAAATCTGTTCATGACTTTATAAGCATCATCATCATTATTCCATTGGGACGTCATCGAATTGAAAATCGTCTATATCTAATCCAATAGGCGGGGTAGATGAATCCACTGCTTTTGATGATGTCATTCCAGTATGATTAAATAAGGGATACTGTTGTTGTAGGTGATGATGATGAGATTGTTGATGCAATTGTTGTTGTTGCTGTTGTTGTAAATGATGATGATGATAGTGATGAGGATGATTTCGTTCCTGTTGTTGTTGTTGATGATAGTGTTGATGGGATGTCTGAACAACAGATGCAATCAATGGATCAAAATGTGTAACTGGTTCCAAAATTGTATTTCCTGTATTACCATGACTCAATTCTAAGCCTAATGAATGCATTGTACCATACATTGAATCTGTTTCACATATTGGTTCAGATTTCAATTGTGGAACAATAAATGAACTGGATGAATCAAATGAATACAATTGTGAACTCTGAAATATTAAAAAAAAAAAAGTTGAAAGCGATGAAAGTTTAATTGGAATGGTATTATTAACAAGAACTTGCTTTACAATTTAAACACTTGTTTCGTCCTATTTTCGAAGGAATCATCACTAGAAGTAAACAAGGAGAATCACCTTTCAGACGGGATAGTAACATCATAAGCGATTTTCATCTAGACACTACCACTTTATAAAATGACTAACTCCTCCAGCTTCCCACAAGTTTATCCACATCTTATTGCTATAAAAAAAAAACCTGAAAATTATGCTATAATATAGCATTATTCCTGCTTCTATATATTCCTTCTGTTTTTTCTTTCTACAGTTTTTTTTATCTTTCTTGTTGTTATAACTCATAAGCCACGTGCAGATATGTGCACTAGGCAATAAGCCACAACCATTGCATGTGGGTTAAGCTGATACTGAAAGAAGCAAAAGACAGGTATGCAGGAAGGAATGTTTATTGTCAACATGTGAGACAGTAGTCGTTAAATGCGTACACCTTGCAAAATATGCCTTATTTCCTCTTCTGCTTCTTTCTTGATGTGCTCTTCATATGCCTGCCTTGTCTCTTGCGTTTCTCTTGGCGGAATCCTTATCCATTGCTGGTAATTCCCTATGATTTCTGCCACCCTCTCAACATATACTATCTATATCCATTCTTATCAGCAACGTGTACTACAATGCTACTTGACTGTTTAGACAAAGATAGGTAGAAAAGGGTTCAAGGCTAATCTATTTAGCTATAACTCTACTATTTATTGGTGTCACATTGATTTATTGATGTGTAGTATGGAAATTCGAACTGGTACATAATTGCATCAAGTCCTAATATTCTGTAGATTTGCCTGTTCCCCTTTGTATTGACAGTTTCCAGTGTCCACAAGTAATTGTCGATGTGAATACCCTGTAATATACTTAGTAGGATGATAACAGGATGTTGTTCAAATCCTAAACTGATAGAAGATACGCTATAACTGCGAGTTGTCAGCAGTCTGATCTCAGCTTAGAACTGCTCACAAAACTATCTGATGCTCAAGAAAGCTGTCAGAATAACCACCTACTTTTCATCATAAATTGTACTATTTGATGAGATATTATTGTTATTTACATGCAAACAATAAAAACAAGTTAAGGTAAATGGATATAATCAATATGACAATGTTTCATTTAATTTAGAATTGAAAGCGAAGATCACCAGACGGTAAGTGAGAAACTGCTTACAAATTTTTTTCTCTTCTATGCTAATACTATATATTCAACCAAAATTTATGTGTCTCATATTGATTGACTGATTTCAAAGCGGTTTCAATCAAGACGGTATGAGGGTGGACATGTGAAGCATTGGGTGAAAAAACTGTGTAGTCTCTGTTAGTTCTTAACTATTCTCTAACTTATGGCTACATCTGCGGTGAAAGCTTGTTTGAAATCCTATTTATGCTCGAAACACTTCCTCAAGTAGCTAACCAAAATGACTAACACCTTTTATAAACAACATATAAAAGCCATATATTACATCGTGCTTGTAAACAGCATATATGATGCAAGTAAAAAGTTAGTGCAATATCAAAGGCTAAAGAATTACGATGACTACTATACACTTAGAATAGTTTTCAAAACGAAACATTGAGTCAACAAAAATAGGTGTGAATGCACGAGGCTAACTAACGCTAATATGTAACAAAAAAAAAGTAGACTCATCATACAAAAAGACATAACAACATGATTGTTACTTAATTTATACACATGAACACCAATTGTAACACCATTGTTTCAACTTCATAAAATACAGACATCCCACAACGTCAATGTCTGGTGTTTTAGTTTGAAACTAGAATAACATAGAATTGAGACAAGTATAAAATATACTAAACAAGAGGATTGGAGTTAAATGAAGTTGTCTCCAAATGAATAAGCTGTTTATAATTCGTTACAATAGGCAATAACTGATCTGGAAAAAGTATAGTGCCGAGTATCAGACAAGATTGAAACCGATGCTATCTAAAATGCCCATGCAAACATTCTGTTTTCTTAACTATCGGATGACAGAGAGTCTGCACAGCCAATGCTGAAGCTCAAATTCCTCAATACAGGTCAAACCAAGTCTTCAAAGACTATTATCACGTCACGATTCAATCATTCTTAACTAGGATCGATGTCGTACCATATCTGAAAGTCTCTCTCCCGCAGGAATTACAAATAAAGTGGTAAAGGGTCGATCCTACTTCCCAAATAAATGAAGTGGTCAACATGCGCAACCGCTTCACCCATAACAGTAAGGCGGGTTACCAACGCAGACTATTCCTGGATTTCCTAACAATGTGCCTTCGGACAGCTGCTGGGAACGCATCTCAAATATTTTCGACTAGTCGTTCAGTGTGTGCAGAAGTCTCAATATTTCGTCAATATCTTCACTGAAAATGTAACTTCTCTAGGTCTGTTATTGAGTCCCTGTGAAAAGGTCAGGGAAGGTCGGGAGATGGAGACCACCATGAGCATGGCTATCATAAAATAAAAAAGCGTAGAGAGAATAGACATACTTGACAGATACCATTCAACGTGCAGAACTCTTGCCGTAAGCTCCAACATGTCTATGAGTGCTCAAGTGCCGAGGCTTCAATAGTCTGATGCACTTACTAGGTACCCATTTCAATAAGCGATACCGTCATAAGAGTTCTCGATCAAGGGAGTCGAATGTTGCTTTCAGGTTACGAAATATGGCTGGTGTCGTACGTCGGCAAGTGCGCTTGTGTTCTGAAACTTAACGAAGGGCGAATATTGGTGATACACACAAGACAGAGTCTCTAACCAACCTGCTGTGTCGGGGTTACTGACTTCGAGCTCCGCTTAGACGTCTGATATTCATAGGAACCATAGTCTTAGACACTATGCTTCTCAGACTGATTCCCCTGTAATTATCGCAAAAGGATTTCTCCTCCTTCTTGAGGACTGGGAATATCGGGGATCGAAATCGTTAAAAGGGATCATAACTGTTTCGCATAAGCTAGCTACCTCACACTTTGGTTGAGGAGCTATGTCACACCAACCTAGGTACTTGATCTCTAACCAGTGGGTCACGGGTTCGACTTCAGCTCCACATACCGAGGTTTTAGCAGCCAAGTAGTTTCCCTAGCTCTCACGCGATAGGTTAGGCTTATTGCTTACTGTAGAAAAATGTGTATATGTTGTCTGATTTAGATTTTGTTTTTAACACTTCAGTAAGTCTAGCGAACAATCTTTAGCCAATGACCTTAACTACTTCTAGCACTACCTCACCAGGCCCTTGCCACCCTTCCTCGACTTCCTCAGAGAGTTGGACGCCCATCTTAGTGTTCAGCCACAGATTCGACCGGATACTATGCAGCTAAAGATCAGCTAAACTGTTACTCGGAAGGCTCCATTCATCATTCAAGATGATTCATCCCCAAGTGAATCTTCGATCCATCCTTCTTTCCCATACTCACCCCATTTTCTTTGACAAGTTTAAATGACTGTCTACTGTTGACTACTACCACTGCATATCTCATCTCTTTATCCTCCCCTACCCAACACTGTTCATGGTCATTGCACAGACTCTTTGTCAGTATAGATTTGAGTTACTTCCACCATTCATCATATCAGGAGCCTGTAGGAGTGTTTTGTTGTGCACCCACTACTTCAGAAGAAGCTGGTGACACCAACCAATCCTTTCTTACTACTTTGTGACAATCAGCAAGTGTCTTCCAGGTTATTTTCACAACGGAAAGGAGGTGGTACCAGGATCCTTTAAGATGGATGACAAGATAATTCTTCCTTTAATGTAACTGAAGTTACCTAACCATTCAGCCGTGCTCGGAATAGTCTTGCTACCAGTGCTTCAAAGTCCAATCAGGTGCAGTTAAACGTGTGTTCGAACAAAACCTTTATCACAGTCAAAACATGTGTTCCAGAAGGAGTGACTACCTTTCATCAGGCTTCACCAATAACAGTATAGTCAATGTGTCTATCGCAGAGCAGTGAACACTACGTTGGATAATGTCTCGTTTTATGTGTAAAGCTCATGCTGAGCGGAATCAGGGGATTGTTTGAGCACAGCTGTAGAGCTCGATCATCATAATCCGTTCGTTCGGTTGGCATTCCCAAAGTGCCTTTAAACTTAAATTAGCCTACCCTACCCGCAACAACTGCCACATCTGAACGCTTGTCTTGCAATAGAAGGCTAGATAGTTTTCAGTAGAAGTCACCTTTCCCTTCATCCGAACTGTAGTCAGTGCGCACGTAGGCAGAGATTACAAAGAGACAATGGCGTTTCACTATTTTTTTTCTCTTCACTCTACCGTTTTATCGAACAGTTCACAGACAGTTGTGAACCAAAATCGAGTTCAGCAGCAAAATTTCCGCCTTAGCACTCTCATGCTGAGTCTACACTTGCAAGACCGAAGTAAAGCTTCACCGATTTGACGGACGATGAAGATTATATAGGCTCCAAATGAAGTTTGGAGTATCATTTCGTCAGAACAGAGATACTATTCTGTGAGCCGAAATCGTCACTCAGAGCTGAAAGAAACTGCCAGTGTAGTGGGAATATTGATTGAGATACACAAGAGGAGATTAGAAGGCTAAGATGTTGAAGACTAATAATGATCTGAGAGAAATTGAGAGTTGACAGTGTTGTGGGGGCTGCTGACACTTTCTGACTGCCCACACTGATGGAAGTAAGTTCTTCTCTGGGTACCTGAGAAAGGAATTCCAATAGTTATGGTAGTGGGTAACCGCAGGGTCCATTAAATATTGGATTAGAGACGGCCACACACGTCATTTTTTAACGTTTGAGGTCAAACCTCGATTGACTTAAAGCAGCTATTTCCAGACCAACCTTTTGGTAAACGTCTCTTCTGAGGAGGGCACAACCAAATGAACCGCTGGTCATTTCTAGGAACACCTAAGCGGTGTCACACTCTCACATAATCAGTAGCACAACTACGTTTTCAGAATTTCTATCACAAAATAGC